TCTCCAATATATATATATATATGTATATATATATTCTTCTTTATCGATCTTCACGTCGAAACTCGTGTTGAGAATCGCTCGAATCATGGCATTATTTGATCGAAACGCGAGAAGGTGAGAGCGTTTTCGGGAGGAAAATTTACGGCGAATCTGGTGTTGTTGTTGGAAGCAACCGAGCAATAAATCGTTCACGTCCAGATCGTAGATCCTCTCGTCGAGACGTGCCACCACTACGATCTCGAGGATCGATCGATCGATCGATCGATCCCCTTTGAAGTTTGAAGCGCATATTTGTATATACGCATTTATACGCGGAGATAAAATGTTGGGGGCCGGCTGTATTTCCAAAAAAAAAATTAAACATTCGCGACCTTCCATCGCTGCGACGGGATGGAAACCATACTTGTTGACGCGTAAGAGGGGCGAAGATCCAGCTGCGGGGGGGGAGGCGCGCATATCTATTTATGAGCGAATTCCATTCCTCGCCTCGTTCCCAGCGGCGGTCAGCGAGCGGATCCGTTTCTACTTACTTTTCACTTGCTCGTCATCCTGGAACAGACAAGGGATGATATTTCGATATTATATATACGCACTTTTCTTCTTCCTCTTTCTTCTCTCTTCTTCGTGAAAAGAAGTAATATATTGTTATTCACTTTCGAAAAGGAATGGCACAGAGAAACGGGGAGAGATGGATCCCCTGTTTGTCAATTATTATTATCGGGGAAGTGGATCGGGATCGATCGGGAAATGGGAGAATCTCCCTTCGTTTGGCGCTGATCCAAACTGTCCGATTTTCGATAGGACGGAATCCCTCCACTCCGATTGAATGCGTGCACGTGTGCAACAAGGTCACGGAAAAAAGTGTGCGCGAGTACTTCTCCCTCCCTCCCTCCCTCCCTCGTTAATCGATTCAAATAAATGACTGACCATCTTTCCCTCGATGAAGCCTCCCGAGAAAACCGAACGCCGTTTGTTTCTTCGTTCTCACGCACTAATGGCTATATCCCACGCTGGATATCTTTTATAAGCTCGGCTAGTAACCCGGTGTGGAAGGGGAGGTGAATCTCTCTCTCTCTCTCTCTCTCTCTCATCCCTTCCCGCGAACTATCGAAATTCACACGCAGCCTCTGAACGCCGGCTCGGCCGCCAATTCTCGCTATACGATATCGGCATACACCGATTTTCCTTCCTTCCTTCCTTCCTCCCTCCCTCCCTCGTGTAATTGGGTTAAAACGAAGTGCCGAATCACCTCAAGGCCGTGCCAGGCCTCTAGCTAGGCCAACCCTCTAACCGATATTTACTACTCGTTTCCTCTCGTTTCGTTTCTCGAACGAGAATATATATATTCTATATATAATATTCTCGAGCATTATGTTTCGTTTACGGGGGGGAAATTTTTTTTTTATAAATTCAATGATATGAGGCGATCGAAATCGATTTCCAAGGAGGAGGGGGAAGAGGGAGTCGGTCGACAAAAGTTTTCTCGCTCTCGAGGAAGAGAATTTATAACGTGTAACGGGGAATGGGAATAGGATGAGATCCATTTTCGTGGATGGAGGGAGGGATATTTGTTTAAATTTATAGTTATATGATTGTTTTCTGTACGGGCGGGAAGGCCTGCCAAAAAGTTTTCCTCGGGGAGAAGCGATAAAATTTTCGTAGAGAAACGCGAAACGCAACGTTTCGGTCTCGGAGGCGGCCCACAGAGCGAAAGAAGTGGGGAGGGGGAGGGGATGCTGCTATTTCAAAACATTCCAGACTATGATACTACCGGTTTCCATTCAACCACCACACTCGCTCCTCCAACATTGCTGTGCATGAGTGTTACGTATCGTCGATACTTTTTTTACTGGTTATTACAGAAATTTAATATCCTTCTCCCTCCCCCCCCCCTTCCTACCTCGTGAAATTCGTGGAATTATTATTCCTTGAGAGAATTATCCGGTGTTTCGCGAAATTTGGAATTGGCCAACTGTGTGATAAACAAAATTGTTACGGTTACAGTCGGTCGTTAAAAAGTATATTTTACGGAAAATATCTCTTCGAGGGTATCAAATTTTTTATTTTACCATATTTTGTATATGCGATTTCGAGGATATATTTTTTTAACAGGAGTGACAGAGCATTGAATCTTGAATATTTTGTAATTTAGTTACTTCGTTTTATTGCGAAGATATATTTAAGAAAAAAGGAGGGGGGGATTAATATTGAAATTTTGTCCCCTGAAAATAAGGTTCCATCGATAAAAAAAAGTATTATATATGGTTATATATAACCATAGATCATGATGGAATTATGGAAATTATTTTTCGATGATTTAGAGATGATTTACGTTTAAAAGAAAAAAATAACATCTTTCTTGGAATATTTTTACATATTTTTATACGTTTCAGTTTGGATTGGCTCTAATTCACAATAGTACATGATTTATACCTGGTTAATATAAAATAACGCAAAGTTATATAAAGTTATGTAACTCCGTAATTTTCTATCGGTTGGATTTACGTCTTCATGATGTGTATCAGCGTGATATATATGCTTTTCGTCTACACAATATTCACAATGTTTTCACATAAAACAAAATTATTATCGACTTTGAAAATATATGTACAATTGTTTAATAAATTCGCGTAAAGTATGCGGATACGTTTTTGCAACCGACTATACTGTCAGATATATTGTATCATCACTGGATGATTAAAATTCCTTTTCGAAAATTCATCCAGTATATTAATAACGTTTATTATGAATTGTTCTCTCTTTCTGTCTCTTTCTCTTTCTCTCGCAAAGTGTGACAAGACGCAGATTACACAACAGATGTAATTCGACTCGTTATTTTCAAAAGCGGAAAATTTTTATTATTGCTAGGCGTTGCGTAAATTCTCGTTGAACGACAACGAGATGCAGTTTTCGTTCTGTGCGTGATGTGATTTTTCAGCCCGGTGATATACTGGTTTTCGTAAGAACGCGGTAGACGCGGCAAACTCTATAATTATCTTGTCAGTCCCACCCACGCTGGGTATGCCATCTCTCCGGCTGAATTATTATTTGAATAAACCCGCGATATTTTTAGAATGTCCAATACCAATTGAGTCATTCTATATTTATATCTGAGCCTACCTTACCGAGTAATTGGGCAAACGGTCGACGAACTTTTGTCACTTACCTTACCTTAGTTTTATCAGTCAAATAATTAAATTCCATTCCTTGAAGATATCTCGATTTATCGAGATCAAGATTATCTTTTATCTTTAACCTCCATCGCCTTTTTCTTTTTCCTTTCTCTCTTTTCAAACTCGGAATGATTCGTCCTTCTCTCTCTCTCTCTTTTTGATTTCCATAGATCATGATGGAATTATGGAAATTATTTTTCGATGATTTAGAGATGATTTACGTTTAAAAGAAAAAAATAACATCTTTCTTGGAATATTTTTATATATTTTTATACGTTTCAGTTTGGATCATTCCAATTACTCACGAGATTCTTCCTAAGGGAAGATTGATCCTCCCCTCGATCGGTAACGATCGATCTATTTGGAATTTCTCTCATCCGTTTATAACGACGTGACATTCGATACTCGCCTCGTTTTCACGATGTCTCCCAATGGCATTCCATCCAGATATTGTCCGTTTACTTACCAATTTTGTATTATTAAAAAGAAGAAGGGGAAAAAAAAGGAGAACGACGAAAGGATCGACGGTTGGAAAATTGCGGCGGATGAAAAACTTATCATCCGGTGATTAATGAAACGGGGCCCGGGGGAAGAAGAAGAGCGTGGATTAGCAATGGGTGAAATCTCAGGAAATTACCATGGATCATTCTAGTAGCGTGTCATTAGCAGAGAGCCGTGAACAATAGAGTCAGATGCATTCCTCCTCCTCCTCCTCCTCCTCCTCCTTCTCCTCCCCGCCGAAATGTTGATTCAACGCTTGCTCGGATTCTTCGTTTGTGATTAAGGGGTATTGTTCGCCCTCGAGATTTTTATCCCGCTCGGGGAAAAACGAATTTTCATTGAGAATTTCGTTGGAAAAAAGGCAGATACCTCGCCTCTTCTCCCCCTCGTTTCTCGTTAACGGACTGTTCTTTCCACCCTCCATGCGATTACGAAGCTCCTGTATCGGGAAACATTTCCAGAATTAAAAACGTTTCTCGTTTCCAGAGAACAGAAAAAGATAGGGAGAGAGAGAGAGAGAGAGAGATTCGTTTTCCAGATTAAATGACCGATCGTGAAACGTGGACACAAAAGATTGGAATAATTACGAATCGAGTTTCTCTTCTTCTTCTTCTTCTTCTTCTTCTTCTTTTCCCCTTCTCCTCCTTCCTCATTCGAAAGAAGACGCTCGCATTCGTGGCTCGACTTTGATGCATTATGCAAGTTGCATCGATCGCATGTTGCGGAGAACTGGAAAAAAAGCTTCTCGCTCCCGATGCATTAAAATTCGGATGATTTTACGTATACGTTTGTGTGTGTGTGTGTGTGTGTGTGTAAATAAGTTTTTATGGATAGATCGAAAATGTAGATAGAGCGGGATCAGAGATAACTTTATAAATACGGGACAAAAGCGGATCGCGGTAAACGGCGATGGCCTAGTTTCGCGTTTGGCCATAATAGCACGATCGGTAAACAACGGTTATTTTGCAAATTTCCTAATGCTCGCTTTGCCCGCATACCCTCCTCAACAACGTGAATCTAGTGGGAAAGTTTTCAACAACGAGTCGCAATCTCTGATCACCTTCCCATCCTTTGACAATTGGCCACCTTCCGTTTCATAATAAAGGGCAATATCTCATCGTGAAGCGTGTTTCGATTGCAGTCCAGTAAGTTTAAGATATATATGGGGATTCGTTTAGAGAGAGTGCAGAGTTCGAAAAGTTTCGTTTCGTTTCTTTTTTTTTTTTTTTTTCTTTTTTCACGCGAAAAATTAAAAAATCATCGATAGAGGAGTGCCGCTGTCCGACCGACGGACGAGTCTAACCGAGGGTGTTTTTCGGCTGATAGGCTCGCAACAAGCCAGCAGATGGAGTGGGCCACGTGAACCAAAAGGGCTCGACAGGTCAGAAAGCGCCGCTGACTCCCGGGCAGAAGGTGGCGCCCGGCGCGAAAGTTGCAGCGAAACCAGCTCAGAAACCCACTGCTCAGAAGGGGCAAGTTAAGGTTACGCCTAAGGCGGCTTCCGTCAAGACTGGCAAGAACAAGAAGAAGGGGCAGAGGCAGCAGTACGATCTAATCGTAACCATCAATTTGGTAAGGGAAAAAAATAGTATTATAATAATAATAATAATAATAATTTCTCTTTCATAAATTCTCTTTCAATCAAAGTTAATAGACCGAAAAATTAGATTGGCAATTAAAATTTCGAATAGTGTTGAGTTTGATCGATTCAAAAGTATAACATTTATTCCTGATTTATTACAGTCTACTAATAATGATCGTACAATTGGGTAAAATTTTAACGGTTGAATTTTCCACTTCGAATAACCTCTTGGTTAATTAATTGTCCGCGCTTGTTCGAGTAATAATAATAATAATAATTATTATCATCATCGAAACTTTCCTCTTTAATTCGAAGCATTAAAATTTTGCTCGTCTCTCTCTGCTCGCGTTGTCAGCCAACAGTGGAAACGGGCGATCGTGGTCAGACGAGGCGCGCTCCGCTCCTAAATACCGATCAGACAACGCGCAGTAGAAATGGCGGTGGTGATCAGCCACTCGGCTGAATTAGATCCTTCTTCTCCGTTAGATGGTAGCACGGGTCCCGATACGTGAACGTTTCGAAATACGAAAAACGTGTCCCCGTGTATCTCGCATCCCGTTATCATCGTTGATCGTCGTTTTATTTATAAACGGATGCAATGCAAGTGGACAAAGCTTATTCGGATTATTTCGAACGTACCTCGAAATCCAAATGTTCGATCCAAGCTGATTCAAGTGTCGAGACTAGAGATCGAAAACGGAACGCGGAAACGAGTTTTTATTTAAATTGCCATAACTCGCGACTGTTTCGATTCCGATGTTTTCGTGTAACGTTTCGTAAAAATAATCCTCGTTTCGTGAAATTCACGCTCGAAGCGGGTCAGGGTGTCCGTGATTTTTTTTCCCCGTCGCGACGATCCAGAAATAGTTTCTCCCGACAGTTTTATCTCCTCCCTCGAGAAGAAAAGGAAAAGGAAGTGGCTCGTTTAAAAATAAAAATTATAATAATAATAATAATAATAATAATAATAATAAACGCGCTTCGATCGATTATCTTAACGATCGCTATTCCTCGCGAAACGACGATACACGCTTGGAGCATTCGAGGAATGCTCGATTCTTATTGGCAAACGAGAATTAGACGCCAAAATACTCTTACGACGATCTTAAATTACGCGCGACTCGAAATGTTTTCGCTTCTTTATTGAAGCTCCGTTGAATTAGCGTTCGAATTATCGTCTCTTCGATCGCGATCTTCTCCTGGATCTTCGATTCTCCGATCGTCCAAATTCTGAGACGATCATCGTGTCGACAAATTATCCGCCCGCATCCGAGGTGGAAAGGAAGAGGACGACGAGGACGAGGCGAGTAAAGAGAGGATCGCCAGCCAATCGTTGGGGACCGCTGACAAGTTAAAAACAGCCGAAGGTTGTCCAAAAGCTCGTCTCGAGCCAGTGTTTTATTCCAACGCGAATGATAAAATGTTGTACAAGAAACGCGTCGAGTGCGTCGTATCTCGCCGTCCGTTCGTGCGGGCGGAGGTCTTTGACTCGTCGTCGTCCAAGATTGATTCGAAGGGAGGAAGATGACGGACGATGATTAATTATCGCCGCTTGTCCAACTTGTCGGTAGATGGGCTCGAAAACCTGATGATCGAGCGTATTGCTCGCTTGCGTATACTGCCCGTTGCACGTGGCGCGTTTTTTTCGAGAACGGGGGAGGGGCAAAGAGGGGGAGAGGAGGAGAGAGGGAGAGGGGAGGAGGGATGAAATAAGAATGAAGTTCGAATGGGCGAAGGAAGTCCTCCGCCACGCGGTGACGCTGCCCAGCTCGCCAGCTCGTAAATAATATTATTTGCGCTCGCCGCTTGTGTTAGTCGTGCTTCTTCCGATTGAGAGAGGCAACCTCTTCGACGACGAGGCTGAAGAAAGGGTGAGAGATTAAAAGAAGAGGAAGAGGAGGGGAAACGTATCTCGTTGGAAAAACGTTCGAATGTAAATTTGGGGTGAGAGGTGAGATTCGTGAGGAAGCGAGATGGCGGAAACGGAGAAGAAATACACGACCGCCTATGGGAAATTGCGAAGATTAACGAGCACCATAGACGGCCAGATTCGACAGATAAGCGTGAGTGGCTCTCGTGTGGACTCGATTCCACGATTCGAGTTGGTTTTCGCATCCATTCTCTTCGAAGTCGTCGAATGCCAGTGTGTAAGCCGAGTATTTGGTTTCACGGCCGAGAAATTCAAAGTGTACGATTTCGTGCAGACACACACTATAAATATGCGCTAGCAAAATAGCTGACTTTTCGAGTCGAATTTACGCCCTAACACCTCTTCTTGTTCGGGCGAAAAAGAAGAATACGTGACCGGGGTTGAATAAAGACCAATCTATTCGGGAAAGGGATTCGAGGCATCGAAGCGAGAGTTTTTCAGATTCTTGTCCAAGTTTTTCCACCAAAATGAAAATTTCATTTTCGACGCGTAATAAACTTCGAAAGATATTTCGAATCGGTCGGACACGTGATCGTGCATTACGCTTTCAAATCTCTCCAGATCAATTAAACGCATTACTGCGAATCATGGAAACTGTTCCATACTTGGAACGATAATCGTAACCGGATCGTTACATATTCAGCAAAGATCTTCATGCAAGCAAAAAAGTTTCTCAACCAAGCTCAGTCGATCTGATCTTTCTCTCAGCTTCATTCATCCGCTATATCCTCCCACGCCACGATGATTATACGTCGCATCGAAATATCCAAAGCAAAGTTGCGACAGTTTATTATTAATAATAATGTAAGGAAGCCTCTTCTTTCTCGTAGTCATCCGTTTCTCTCCTAATATATTTTATATATATATATATATATATATATATAATATTTAGATTTTTTTTTTTATATTGAAATTAATTAAAAATGAATTTATTAATAAAATAAATAAATAAAAAATAATTAAATATATGAAATAAATAATAAATCAATTTATTGGTATTATTTGTGGAATTAAATTTCATTAGAAGTAATTTTAAATACTATATTTGATTTAAAAGATCAACTCTTAAATTTCAGACATCTAATGAAATTTTAAAAAATAATTTTTAGAAAAATTTATTTTAGTTTGACAAACTAATGTTATTATTATTAACTAATTTTTTATATTTGTTTATTAATTCAATTTAAGAAAAAATTGAATGAAGTTGATTCAATTATAATTGGTATAAATCTATGATTTATTCCACAAATTTCTGAACATTGTCCAAAAAAAATTCCTGGTCGTTTTCTAATTAAATTTAATTGATTAATACGTCCTGGAACTGCATATATAATATAAATTATATTATATATATATAGCACCGAAAGAGGTCTCTCCTTTTCGGAACGTAACGGTGCAACAAGAAACAAGGCGCGTGCAACGTTTCCTCCCAGACAGATATTGCCCGATACGCCAGATGCACGTCTCTCTTGTGAGATGTATTTGGGTCATATACGATCCTCCTCCATTTGTTCTAGAATAAACGTGGAAACCAAGCCGACCTGTGTTTCCTCTAATCGCGTTAACGACACGCGTTCCGTTAATCCCTTGTCTATTAATACTGATTTAACAATGTCGCGTGCAGATAAGCCGACCGTATTGGTATTACCGTAGTTGAAGGTATTATTAATCGAATTATGAGTATTCGTGATCCAGCCCTGATCCTAATTCTGAGAACGAATTTGGATTAATCGAGGGCTTCGAGAGAAAGATTGTCGAGATGATTGTAATTATTGTGATTTGTAAAACGCGCGTGGAGAGAGCTATAATTTTCTGGACAATTGAATCGTGGATGGTTTTGTAAAGAATGATGCAAGATATTCGAAAGGAAAGTAGAAGATAGGATAAAAAACACGGGTAAAAGAAGTTGCAGTTTTAATCGATCGCAATTTCTATCGAAACTTTAGTTTTCATTATATAGCGTAGCTCTTCCCTGCATCAGATCTCTCGATTCGTAATCTGTTCGTTTCTTGAATAATTTCGTTTTCATCTATCGTGTCGAGAAAAAAAATTGATCAACCGACGAGGCTATTGAAAGAAAATTGTCTATATGCATTAAATTCGTAACGATTTAATTAAAATTAAACGTTAACGTAATTCTTTCTAATCTTACTTTAAATATATATATATGTATATATTTTTTTTCTTCTTTCAGTCTGAATATGGACTCACGGAGGATCAAGTGGCCGGTAAGTGGATTTTAAAAACAAAATTTACCATTTATGATTTACCTCTTTGGCGTGGTAAAGTGATTTCTCTGCTCTTTTTTGAATGTCGAAAAAACGAAACGCATTTTTCATTCTCTTGGCATCACGCGGTTGTAAAACATTTCCACCGAGAATCCAAGTGTCCGTGAACGTGTTAATGCTAATGAAGAGAGTTTTTCGCGGACACGTTATATTTCGGATATTTTGCAAATTGAAGGAACCGTACAACGGTTTTCGTACATCTTTAACGAAGCGTCGTTAATTTATTCCATCTTTTGCCAATGAAAATACGGTTTGATATTCCATTAAGAACGATCGATCGATCGGAAGAAAATCGATAGAAAATAGATGTGCAGGATATTGAGGAAACAAATGGAATATGAACTTGGATATTCCATTGCTTCCAAGATAAAGTATGATCGCTTAAAGATAGAAAATTCTTTTCGAGATGTAGATATTTTTCCATTATGACGGGATTCCGTAGCAATGTTTGAAAACGTTAAATAAATTCCATCGACGAATGTTTTAAAGACGAATCGAAGAAATACAGTTTCTCGTGTATTTTAAAATTCAATTCAATGATCCTTTTAATATTTCCAATCGTTATCCAATAGTATTGTTAGAATATTTAAAAGAATATTTAAAAGAATATTTAAGAATAAATTAGTGGAGAAATTTTATTTCGACGTTGCAATATGCGCACGAAACAAGGTTGGATCGATTTCTCTTTTATAAATTTTTTTTCACAATTTCTCCATGCGAGAAATTACGGATTTTTACCAGAGAAAGAGAAATTGCCGCTCGATATATGCACACGATACTAATGCATACGTCCGGTGTTTACCCGATGATAAACGCAAGGCGAATGCAGCGAACGATAAGATCAAACGGAAACGCCTAGAAAGCCTCGCTACCCATTCCAATCGAATCTTAGTTAATTCTTCGTTTTCATATTCGTATTATTACATAATGTCAAATTCTTTATTCGTTTCTCGTATCCCTCGTTTCATTCTTCGCATCCCCATTTCTTCCCTTAATTCCAAGGGGCAAGAATACGATCGATATTTAATCCCTTTGCGAGGGATGAGACATTCCACGATCGAAATATTCCACTACGCAAATAGTTGGTGAGACGAGACGTGTTCTACCTGCGATACGACGCAGGTCTAAACGATGAGATATCGTTAACGTTTATTGCGACGTTTATTGTTCGTGCGGGGGATCAAGAACACGAGGGTATATTTTCATCCATTCTCGGCCGGGATTGCGATACATTTGTCGTTCGCCTCCGATTTCCCAACTTCCTGTGGCGAGCGAACTTCGATTCCAACGACCTTCGTTGTCAGAGGAATAAAAAGGAGAAAAAAAAGGGAAAAGCTTTTGACGAATGAATGCGGGAAGGAAAGGAGGAGACGGTAAATAGAGGGGAGAGGGAGAGGATAAAAGGTAGAAATCGCAACAATGGCAATGGAAGTATTGTCCCCTGTGGATGCTCTGACGGATCAAACGGGACTATTTTAATGAACGCATGCTCTCTCTGCCTCGTTCTTCCTCCCTCTCTCTCTCCCTCTCTCTCTCTCTTTCTCTCTCTCTCTCGTAAACTATTCATCCCGTTTGTCGTCCGCGAATTTTTTACCGGCACGATGCTGCTCGTTGGACGTTGTGAAAATTTATAACGGCGCATCTCTCTAGCCGGCGAGCTAGCTCTCCTTTCGTCGTGGCTGGCCACTTGCCCGAAACTCTCGCGCGATCTCCTCTAGTTTTGCGCGACTTGTAACGCGTGACCGAAACACGTACACACACACACGCGCGCGCGCGCGTGCGTGGACCACGATGATTAATCAGAATCATCTAAATCCGCGAATTCTCGACAACAAGATGCGGGTAAAAGCACTTTTGTGTCGCGTGCATCCCCGATTTTATTCGCCAAATTTTCGCTTCTCTCGAGTTTTTCTTATTCTTTATTATATATGTTTATATTATTATATATGTATTCTTATTTCTGTATTATATATGTATTCTTTATTATATATATATATGTATATATATATCCCTGCGGTTGGACGACCGTTCGAAATTGAATTCGAAGACGAAGAACTTGTTCGAGAAGAGTTCGAAAGTGTAAATTCGTTTCGATTTTTTAATTGAGAAACGTTAAAAAGGATACTATCGTCTCGATTTATAATCAACGAGGGAAATTTATCTATTCTTTCAGAATTCAAGGAGGCGTTCATGCTGTTCGACAAGGACGAGGACGGCACCATCACGATGGCGGAGCTCGGCGTGGTGATGCGATCTTTGGGGCAAAGGCCGTCCGGTAAGCGAACACGTTGGAGAATAAGTTTTGGAAAAGTGAGTGTATTATTCGTGTATCGGCCGCGTGTCGTCCACGTGTGCACGAAGGCGGACACGATCTGGCCGGAAGCCACGAAACTGACGAAAGTGTGCCCGCTTGCGGCCAAAAGATATAACGGTAATCTAAACCGCCAACCAAACACCGTATTGTCTAATAACTACTAGCGCATGATCCTTGGTGAAATTCTATATCGAATTAACGATCGTTTTATTTTGACAAACGCGAGCCGCAAAAGAGGCGAGAATGAGTGTAAGCGAAACTTTGTTCTGTTTCGTTTACACGATAGATTGGCAACATTGAAAAAGGAACGAGATTAAATGTTTCGATCATCTCTCGTGGATTTGGATTAGATCGATGGACTTCTAGTGGCTCCTTGGCCTCGAAAACAATTGTAAATCCTTTTTAAATTTAAATTTGAACAAAGTATTATTACTTTTTTAGGGAGATTGGAAGAAACAGTTCGATATTTTTGTTATTTCGTTTATCAACAAAATTTTCCATTATTTATAGAACTCGCTTTGAATCCTCCCGCTGTTTGTGAGAATGTGTGAAAATAATTACGATATTTGATGAAAATTTGTAATCAAAATTGTTACTACTTTTCAAGCAGCGTGGAAAATTTTATTTTATTCTTTCGCTACGGAACGATAGAGCTTAACGTTGATATCGCAAACACGATTCTTAAACGGGTTGTACGATGCAGACACGAAAAGTTTGAAGTTTGAAACGCAAACTTCGCGAAAACTCTTCTTGCTAAATTAATATCCCAGTTTGAAGGTTTTCTAAGACGACGACGAGAGTTAAGCGGTAGAAAACTAGGCTGTGACAAGAGCTTAGGGAAAATTACCTTTCCTCCGATCCCGGGCTAGAAACTGTGATGGTTAGGCGCACGTGCAAACGTTGGTAATTAACTGCACGTCGAGTTCTTCTGTACCCGCTCCTCGACACGTCTGCAAGGGAAATTAATCGTGTTGCGTGAAACGACGATGAACAACCGTGCATTACACGTTGAGATCACAAAGGGGCGGCGAATTTTTCTCGAACGAGACGAAAATAATAAAATCTGAGAAAGAAAGAAAAAAAAAAAAAATCTCACATTTGACCGATCTTTTTCAATTTTAGAAACGGAATTGCGAGATATGGTGAACGAGGTGGATCAGGATGGGAACGGTACCATCGAGTTCAATGAGTTCTTGCAAATGATGTCGAAAAAGATGAAAGGCGCCGATGGAGAGGACGAGTTGCGCGAGGCGTTCAGGTATTGTTGAAATTTAGAAATAGATTGAAATTTAGAATAGATTCGAATTATTCCCGTAAACGTCGACGAAACGGGGCCGAAACATTCGTTTCTCAGAGTGTTCGACAAGAACAAGGACGGCCTGATCTCGTCGAAGGAGTTGCGACACGTGATGACGAACCTTGGGGAGAAATTGTCGGAGGAGGAGGTGGACGATATGATCAAGGAGGCGGATTTGGATGGCGATGGAATGGTGAATTATGAGGGTAATGACATAAAATGTAGAAATAATGATCGTTTAATTTATTTCTCGCGAACAATTTTACATTGTATTATTTATCGAGGGACAACAACATTTCATTTCGTAATTGATCTAACGACGCGTTATTTAAAATTTACCCATCATTTTTCTCGCTCGCATCGCTACGATATTTCCACAGAATTCGTGACAATCCTGACGTCGAAGAATTAGTTCAGTGGCCACGGGTCGAACTAGAAGCTATCCAGCTGCCGGAAGTCTTCGTCGAAGAACAGAAATCAAACCCAAATCGTCAAGTTCCTCCCCAAATATCGTAGCAAGATGGGAACCCCCTTCCCTCGAACCCCACCATCGAGAAACATTGATGAAAAAAATAGAAAAAGCGAAAGTAAGAGGGTGGAAAATGTAGGAAATCTTGGAAAACCTTGGAAAAGTCGAAGAAAATAAAAGAACCGCCAAGAGGATCGATCGTTCGACGGATTTATGACTCGCGTAAGGGTAAGTGGTTATCGAAAGACTGGTATCTGGGATCGTGTCTCCGAGCGGTGGGGTGACGGGTGACGGGATGCTAGGTTAAGTTGAAAAAAAGAGAAAGATAGGAAAGATAGGTGAGGGTGACTTCCGCAGTTGCACACGCATACACGCATACACACCTCGCTCCTTCGAATTAATTTTACAAGTATAAGCTAGCGAAAGAAAACGACATTATACGTGAAAACGAGTGAGGTGCTCGCTCCCGAAACAATCAACTGAGCTTCGTTTTAGCGTTTACCTATTATCTATACTATCTATTAATGCTATACAACGTCGTTATTGAATATTGTTAGGAATCGATCCTTTATCCATCCTTCACCGATCTCATTTACACGATATTTCTGGCATGACTATCTCCCGAATCGTTCAAGCGCGGATCGCAACTGTCGATGGCCTAAAATGTAAGTAACTCTGGGTTCGCACGCGAGATGGCGTGAAAAGTACAAAACAGCGTCGAAACCGAAGTCGTTCGTTACGTTCGAAGAGGTTAAGTGCATTGTTCAAGATATTTCGCGAGGTGCGTGAATAATAATTTTGAGAAACGGATTGAAAAGTGATATTTTCGGATTATTGGGATCCACAGTGAAACGAAGAAGAGAAGCTTGTCATCACACTTTTCACACTTCTATCGATCGGTATTGTTCCTCCAATTTTTGTAGATTCGCTTTTAAACGAGACGAATCCTTCCCCCCTGGCTCGTTGTCGAGTCGAATTTCGGGTAACATTAATTGTCATTAACATTTTAGCCGCGGGACTCGACGCGAGATAGCTCTAATAACTGATCTGTCTTCAAATCTAGATGAATGTCGTTGACAAGTAGGTTAGTTCTAACCGTGATATATTCTCGTGGCAGAATCTTTAGACGCATGTTATCGCGGTTGCCGGAAAGCAAAAAGAATCAAAGCAAACGTAGCAGATTTTTCCTTAAATGTACCAACACCAATCGTAGGATTTATCGGTTTTTGTTGCCAAAAAATCTTTTGTACCGGATATCTTTCTTTCTGTTTTCTTTTTTTTTTTTTTTTTTTTCTTAACTCTCTCAGACGAAGAGCTGAGAAATCTCGTGAGTGTATCGCTCTTGTTGTTAGTCCCGATTTAGATTCACGTCCATATTCAATTCCTATACCGAAACACCGTCCACCTAAAAACCTCGACATTCGATATACCCACCCATAAAGCCAATTTTACGTATTACGTCGTGCACCTTTAGATCCTTAAGATAAGAAGCCACAGCCGTAGGTCGCGATAGAGGATAGTTAATTAGCGCATTAGGAGGAAGTACGTACACGTAACAAATAATGCATTATACACATACCTATTATATATACCTATACATGGTGTTACTACCAAAGATAATTGAAGTAACGTTATTATGGATATTCGTATATATTTAGTATATACTTATACATACATACGTACGTACATATTATTATATATACATATACACGTTAGCGACGTACGTCGGTGGTATACTGGCATTGATATTTTTATGGTTTTAAAAAAATACAACAACAAGAATAAGTATTAGTGTCAGAAAGAGAGAACGAGAGAGCGAGAGAGAGCGAGAGAACGAGAGAAAATGTGAGAATGAATGAGAGAGAGAGAGAAAATAGGAATGAAAGAGAATGAGAGAAAGAAATATTGGTTGGTTGGTCGAAGCGTGTGTACATAAAGAAACATTCAGGAGGGAGATATACGGGGAAACGGGATAAAATAATAAGAAGAGCTCTTATAAACGTATTAAAGGGGATATTCGTTTTATCCTTAAAATAAGTGTCGACGGATGGTATGCGAATATTATTATATCGTTATCGTTGGTCACACGAAGCGGTGATTTCACAGATCGTATACACGACATACACATAGAGATAGACAATAATTCTGTTTTTTAATTAAGTAATACGCGTATAGTTATATTGCGTTGTTCAATTCGATCGCTGGATAGGTAAGCTGCAAAATTTTGCGAGCATCACAATTTGAATTTAAAGATGAGATTATCTTCGAATAATTCGATTTGCTTATCTAATTGCGCGATCGTTCTTTATGAATGCCTCACGCCCCTGGCTTACGGTGAAAAATTTGATGGAAAATTAAAGAACCGCGAAATTTTCATTTCTCTTTTTTTATTTTCGTGGAAACGGATATTAGGATTATCTGATAATTCTTCGATTTGTATGAAATTGTTATTAATATTTCGATATTAAAAAATCTTAATTATATTAAATTTATATATTCGCGATCGTCCGACATCGGCGTGATGCAAAGGTACGCACAACGTAATTCAAAAAAAAAAAAAACCGCGAGCTGTGCAAGACGGATAAGAAAAAAAAAAACTATTAAACACGCAAACATAAAAAATAACAAGACGCTTCGACAGGTAAAAAACGTAAAAAGAGCTCGATAAGTCGACACAAAATAGTAATGTATAACGTCCCGAAGACAATATCTTTAACGATTTTATTAAAGGAAGATTATTCGAGATTTACCTCGAGAGGAAGGCCTACGTTTTGCCACGTGTGTACGAAAATGATAGATTGTAGAAAGATTGTCGAGGAGAAAGAGAGAGCGAGAGCGAGAGACGGAGGGAAAAGAAATATAAACAGAGGAACGAGAAGTTTTTACGATGCAGGAAATTACTAAGAAAGGTGCTGTTTATGTTGACTAATCACCTTCGATTTTTACTTTCGAATTGTATCCATTTGCTTTTATCTTATCTAAATTACGTGCACATAGTTTCTTATATATTTACTTTGCAACGCTCACTTTGTTTCCACTTGAATTTTTTCGTATTCTGTGTATATATACATATATACACATATATACATACACACACGATCGTTTTTAATTTTCTTGAAAGATCGCGACGAACGGGCGGATTCATTTGGATTTACGTGACATGCACGAAATATTTCACTGCACCCCATGAATTTTTATTTCCACTTTCCCTCCCAAAGGAAAACTTATCAATAAGAGTATCGACAAAATGCTGAACACAAGTACAAGAAAATCGTCAATATCTGTATAGTATATCTCCCCTATTTAAATATCGTCGTTGAATCACGGACCTCGATGAACGTTAAAAATCCATCGTTCGGCCACGCAAAAGGATTACTTGCAAATTTCCATCGGAAATATTTTCATTTCGCAAGGCGACATTAAACGCACATTTGTCACGCGCGCTTTTAATAGGTACCTTTCTCATTAACACGGATCATTAGCGATCGAACGAGGTCTCTGATTCCTCGCGCGTATTTTCCAAATCAATTGCCTACTTACTCCCGCTATATACATACATATACATATATATATACCTTTGGGCGAAAAAATAAATTTCCTATTTTTGCCTCCCTGAAGATGTATTAATTCTGCATTCTGCGAATAATCCGATGGAAAAGAAAAAAAAAAAAAGAAATCCAAATCAAAATCCTCAGATTGCAGCAGACTCTGCAACTCTGTATTTTTAAAATAAAATTCCTTTCTTTGCGGGAATAGCGGCAAGATATCCTGTAGAATATTACAACTCTGTTAAACCGCGTTGTCAATCCTTGTTCAACCCTGAAACGAAAAGTATTTTTGTAGAATACTCTTCGCGCCAGATTTTATCGCACGTCGAGATGCATACGTTATATTGTATTCTATATATTATATTACATTTACGTCAACGTGTACGTGCGTGTACATATTATATATCATATTGTATCATCCTATTCTGCTGGCAGATTTCATTATAGTTATTATATCTGAACGAAAAAAACGAGACGAAAAACGTTTGAATTCGTCGTCGCATATAATATGGCGTTAAATTGATTATATATACACGTATATAAACGTCCTTAAAAAAAAAAAAAAAAAAAAAAAGAGAGAGGAATACCTATACAAGTCTTCCTTTTAAAAATCTGCACTGTAAAATCGAAGTTCGAACACAACAGTTCTAGGATTTAATTATAGCTGCAAAAAAGAATTGTTTTTGTCTCCTGTGCGAAGGTGCGTATATATTACTTTCAATTAATTGAAATCGTTAAATCTGTATTTTTCGGATAGAGTTGCTCAAGTCAAGATATTTTGTGAATTTTTTAACAATCAAAGAGTCGAAACGCCTAACTAATCGCTGTGAATCTGTAGATCAGAGTTGCGACGCTCAAAGACTAACTTGACTAAATAATTAATTATTATATTATTTTAGATCTTTTTGAAAAATTGTAGGGGATTCAGTCACTCGTTTATTTCAAATTCTCTATGGTACTAAAGAACTTCGAGATAACTCAGAGATGCGAGATGTTCGAGATAGATACGCTTGCGTTATACATATTCATCATAATTATTATTATAAACTTTTGTTTCAATTAGCTGTTTGAATAGTTTCACTTGTATTGGAGATAGACAAACTGCGAACGAACGAACTTGATCACCATGATATTTTTGTAGACGTTTGACACGATTCAGCCGAAATTTACATACTCGAGTTGCATAGAAAAAGATCTTCTTGCTTTTATTTAAAACGATCGAGCAAATTTCAAATTTGCATTCCTCCTAATTCGTCATTTCACATGATCTTTATTGCCCTCTAACTTTTATATTAATTTCAATTCGAAAAATCATTTGTATATTTTCAGTATGCATTTATAAACGCAATGCCCGTAATCGAACTTGAGGAACGCGTGCTTTTTAGAGTAAAGAAGTAAAGCAAACGAGATTTCAACGAGAATTCGCGTCAAATGGATGATCACGGACCGTATATATATATATATAATAAAAAAAAAATCAGGGAAACGAAAATTATTTGATATCAAACGAGTTGATGATGATGATTCAAAGATAATCAAATAAAAAATATATATATATATATATATACTTTGCTAGATACGAGAAGGAAAGAGAGAAAGAGAGAAACGTCATTAACTTAGGTGTATAATAATTGTAAAATCGTTAAATAAATGTTACTATGTTGTATTAATCGCGAGGCCGTCTCGCCTCGTCTTGATGAAACAATACAATGAGTCACTCTGCTCGAAAGATTCAGACTTTTGTTACAAACGAGACGGGTTCTTGGATCGATTGTTTGTCATAGTATAATCAAGTATTATCTATGTTTCTCATCATGTTGGCTGACGTAAAAAGTAAGTACCTGCGCTTTATTAACGAGATCACGAATGATTTTCAAGAACGAGAAGGAGAAAATTGATCGTATGAATTATTCAATCAATAATTATTAAGAAGAAGAAGAAAAATGGAAGCGAAAGTTACCGATTGCATCGTTGAAGATTCGTTCGATTCGTTCGATTAGAGGAAGATACTTTGTTCTGAGAAAAATTTGAAAATGCACGCAAGATCGAGATTACGCTTTTTTACGTAGAGTTCGTTACGTGCCATCGTTTAAAGAGTACATATAAACATGGCCAAGGATAAATGATATCGATCAAATTGTCGAGAATTATTATTGTCAGAGTTCCGAATGATAATCATCGCATCGCGAACCCTTTGATTTCTCGAGATTTATGTTTGTACGCGTGACATTTTCGCGCGTTGATCCGAGACATCTAAAGAATTCTTTACTTTATAAAAAAAAAAAAAAAAAAGAAAAAATTTTTATTTAATAGTTCGAAGATGCAATTTTGTGAAAAAAAAGAAAGAGAGAAAAGAATCAAAATTCGAAACAATTTCTTTAGATGTCCGGATATATATATATATATATATATATACGCATTGTAATTCTTCCCTCGTACATTTACGCTATTGTTGCGCGCATGCATTTTCTTTTCAGTTCGCTTGACGTAAAAGCGATTTTTAATATAGTTATCATTGCAGCTAGGCAAATACATTATATCGTTGAAAAATGCAATCCAAATACAAAATGATGGTCAAGAATAATATTATTGTAATAAGGAAACGTCTTTCATTACTTTATTAAATGATCGCGAGTACAAGTTATAGTTAAACGAAAATATACATGTGTGTATATATCCAATTATAAAGCAAATTGAAGGGAGACCCTTTCTTGGTTCTTCGTGGGGTGCAAATGGCTAGTAAAGTAGAGGATATAATGGTACGGTGTGGAGGCGAGGATAATAAAGAATGTAACAAGAGTTGTAAGAGAGAAAAATTATCTTCGAGGTGTATTAAAGAGGAAAAAAAAGAAAAAAAAAAAAAAAATAGCGTAAAAACTAAGTCAAGCAGAGATATCGCATTGTGAATGAGAATATTTATATTTTTACTTGAGAAAATGTTATAATAATAACGTTTGTAACGTATAATTCCCAATTCCCGATAAGGAATGTTTATAACGTTATTTTTCTAGATCTATATATCTAAATACTTACTATTGTGTTATGACGAAACGTGCTTTAAAGCGTCAAGCAAGCGAGATTGTATTGTAGATGCAATACGTACATTTATCCATTATACATGTATTGCGTTTACTTTAATTATTTCACTATCTTATTCCTCTATAAGTAACGTAATATATCTAATTACAGGTGTAATAGCAATTTAACGAATTCCAAATTTTGTCGCGGGCGCTCATCTGCACATAAAATATAATCGATGTGTTTCTCGCGGTGTTCATTGCAATTTTATTACTGTAAATATTATTTACGTTTAAGTTTAAAAGTTATCTCTATCCGTACGATTAATTGAAACATTTATAATCATTAATTATTACTATTAAAACAATATTTTTATAGGAGAACATTAGCTTTCTTTGTTCTCTTTCGAGTCAAATCGGTGATTAATTTCCTTCTCGCTTTAAAAAAAAAATTGATTGATCGAAATATTTAAAAAAAAAATAATAATAATAATAAAATTGGCTAAATCGATACGTATAATAAAAAAAAAATATTATAATATATAAAACACAATATATAAAACAAACTTTTTTTCTTTCGCTGTATACCTTTTTTTCGTTTGAAAGCGATTGATACAGAATGGAAAGACGAGAACACTGTTAGTTGTTAATGATAAAACTTTATTATGCATCTTTTAACATTTCTTATTAATCTACTGTGACGATTTATTAAAATGTTCCTTTATATCTTCGTGGAAGATATTTTGTTCTCTAACTGCGGTACCTGCGATTGATGGTTCTTAATCAGATTTGCTCCACTCACGTTTCGTCGTAAAGTGGAAAAAACGGAAGTGCTGGAAATTGTGGCGAGAGTGCAGTATGTATGGTGTTAGCTGTATGAAATCATGTTACGTGTATTGTTATGTACTGTAAGATTAGAATACATCATAAAATGGTGATGGCGTGTACTGCTGGAATGTAATACATGTATCGAGTTATCCCTAAATACAGCCATTTTATAATGGATATTTATTCCATGCCCATTTTCCTTTTACCTGTAAGATATCTTAAAAGTATGTGAGAAAAAAAAAGGAATGCAATAATAAACAATAATTTGTAGATATCTGACTTAGAAATCGTTTATTAACAGAAAAGTTAATACCATCATCCATACAAATTGGCTTCTTAGGAGTATCTTAGTACTATATCATACGAAATATTATTTTTTTCTTTTTTTTTTTACTTATATTCAAATATTCGAAATATTTGAAACTTGTCGATATATATCAATTCTAAAATACTTTACCCAAGAAGCGATTCATTTTAAACGAAACAATCGATTTCAAATTTTCATTCACTCACGCTCTAATATCGAAAATCGAACGCAATCGAACGCGATCGAGTGTTCCCGCGCATTTCACTCAGCGTCCTCAACATACTCGCGATCATGTACTGCGATTTCACGTTGTGCTTAGTTTTGAAAAAAGTAATTAAAAAGTATCAAAAGGTGATCGTCTTAAGTGTAACGTTTTGTTCGATAATTGAAATTTAATGAAGAGATTAGAGAATCTTGTAATTGAGAAGCATAAAAAGACGTGGGACAAAGGTCGTATCGCAGCCATGATATCAACAGTACATTTGGTAGTGTAAAACTTAAGTTTGATTGATTATGGAACGATATATTACAACATTTTTACCTATCGTTGGGTAATTTCTTTGTATTCTTCTTTTTCTCTTTTTTAATAATATTCTATAAATCGCGTTATAAGTTGAGATATAACATCTATTATACGAATATTGACACTGGGAGATTAACATCTCTGGCGTTCATTTATAGTTCCATTAAGAATTATTACCGTTTTTAATATTCAATACGAAAAGAAAGGTAATACAAAAAGCACGTGTTATGTAAAAATAGAATAAAATCTACTTATTTCCTGTAACGAAACCCGTTCGAAGGTTTCGACTATATATATATATATATGTATATCGTGAATAATTTTTGTACAGGTTAGAGTTTAAATGTATATAACATTTGGTAGAGATCCAAACACTTTAGGTTGGAATTACATACTTTCTTTTAAATTATTAGTATGAGATTGGCCGTGAAAATTCCATTTCCATTTAAAATAGACTAAATAAGCATTTAATTTTACTACAATACTGTATAAATGATTTTAAAAATGTTATCACGTCTATAACATTGATTAATATTTTTTTTTTCAATTATACAACGAATTTGGATTTTATCATTGTAAATAACTGTGAAAACTAACAAATTGCATAACCAAAGTCATACAAATCTTATCCTGAGTTTCATTAATTCTATTATTATAGTTCATCCTTGAGTAATGTATACCTGTTTTTGCTAGGTGCTAATTTCTTAAATGTAGATTCTGGTGGAGTTGTAGGCACCTTAATTTGTCCAACAATTTCTCGTACTTCGTTACTAGGATCTGGCCCATAATGAAATTCTCTATGTAACTTTCCTGAATATAAATCTCGTAGAAAAGCTTTTAGTTTTCCTTCTACATGAATATCATTAAAGTTTGGAAACAGGTACATATGTCTAAAACTATCTATGGCAATTAGAGGCAAATCTGCTGGAGTTTTTCCTAAATGATGTAGAGGATGAGCAAATTTCATACCATCTGCAGTTAAGAAATTTACATTTTCTGAAATGTAAAATAAAATAAAATATTATATTTGTGTTATTTATATTCTTATCCTATATATTTATATTCTTATCCTGCATTCCTATTGTGTTTTATCCATTTTACTCACGTTTTTCATCAAGTAATGTCCTTGATACTACATCTTTATACATTTTAACACTCTCAACATCATCGGGAGCATGAAACAATATAAGAAAAGGTAAATCTTCCTCTGTTAATTCCTCAGCATTTTCAAATGTGATTTCTCTCACAAAAGGAACACATTTTTCTTGTGCCCAAACATTTAATTCATCAAAATTGTTCAAACTTCCATGATACGTTTCATCTTCATCATTAGAAAGTGCTTTATCAGACCGGAAGACAATTATAGGTTCTCCTGGAGGGTGCATAGCTTTACTTGCATTCCTAATTATTCCAACATTTAAGAATTAATGTCTTCCTTTGTATAAATATATATATAGTTTTATTTATATATAGTTATCAAATAAGATTGCAAAGCAAAATATTTAAAAGAAAGTACATTAAACATTGCATAATTTATGTATAACACAATAATGTAAGATAATAGTAGAAATATAATAAATAATAAAGTACATGTACATAAATATACATGTATATCTAAGATATCTTAGATGTGCATATATAAAAGAAAAAAAAGAAACATTGCATAGTTTTAACTTTGTAAATAAATACAAAGATAGCCAATGCCTATCTATATCTCATTTAATATTTTACTTACAAAAAGTGAAAATGTTCCCCAATTTCACAGTTTTGTGCTGAGCATGTGCTTGTTATAGGAAAGAATAGAATAGTTATACATAGTTACTTATACAAATGTTGAAAAGAATTTCTTTGAAAACAATAAATTGATTCATATTGATTACCTATATAATTTTATTAAATTATATTAAAATTCTTACCCAAAGCCAACATGGAATTGGCAATCATCCTTGAGATTTGTAGCAACTCTCCTAAACATTTCATATTCAGGAACATCCTTTCTATCAAAATATCCAATGATCATTCTTTTTTTATCATCTAAATTAGTTAATTCCTTTAAATCATAAAATTCCTTAATAGGATCCTCCAATTGTTTCTTTATAAATTCCTCAAAAGCTTCTACAGATCGCTGTCCTCTATATTCTCGTTTGGTTGGCTGACCATTTCTTATAACTTTTAAAGTTGGATACTTAGTGATATGAAACCTTGAAGCAATAGAAGCTGGAAAACAATTTTTTATTTATCAATACATTTTATTCACAAAATTATTTTAGTTTTATATAATTTATTTATTTATTTTTAATTATATTTACTTACATTCCCTTTCACAATCTACTTTTGCCATTACAACTTTCCCTGGTTCAGGAAATGCATTTTTTATTTTATTTGCAGCTTCTTCAAAAATAGGAGCTAACGAATTGCTAAAACGGCACCACTGTGCGTAAAAATTTATAAATACCAATTCATTTGTTGCTAGAACAACATAACGTGATATTTATGTTATTATATAATAGATAAAATTCATATTTATGCATTTTTATTAACACGACTTACCAAGCGTCATATCGATATTTTGTTGAGTAAGCGATAAAGCGCCTTCATTAGTATCGTTTGCGAAATTATGTGGCAAAAACGCCTAAAAAATAGAATATTTTATATATTTTATATATTTTATATATTTTCGCGTTGTTATTCGGTAATTGCGAAGCAATTAAATATATTGAAAAAATATGAGCGCGCGTAATATTGGAATATTTAACGCGTAATATTTAGATAAGATAATTTAAATAAGGGAGAGGTAAATTAAAAATAACAAAAATTATATTAATTGAATTAAAAATTATATTTTTATTTTCTAATAATGTCATTATTGCATTTTTTCTCTTCAATATAATGCATTTAATAATTTCAAAATTTAAATTATTAATAACATATGTATATAATTATTTAATTTTTTGAAAAGTTTGTTTAGTAAAATTTTGAGGTTATTTTATGTATATATGTATAGGTTATGCCACTTTATAAACAATAAAATTAAGTTCGCTGTCATTAAGATCATTCTAACTTTAACGGTTTTATAATAACGGGAAATGAACTTTCTAAAATTCGTAGTCAAATACGTGTCACAACATGAATAGCTGGCAATATTCAAAATTTTCTATCAGTTCTTTAATAAACGATACATTATTTTAATTAATACTCACCAATAAACAGGCAAATATAAGTACTTTGAAGTCAAAAATATCACAGAAGACCAACATGTTGTGATCTTATATTATAAATTTAATCAGGCAACACTTTTTTGAATCACCATCAGTAACCAGCTGCCTTCGCGTCAAATGTCATGAATTTGCAGTAAATCGAATCCTAGTAAAATATTATCGATATATCGATTTAACAATGATGACACAAGTATCATATAAATTCTCTATATCGAAGTTGTACCTATCTTGTTTCTCTATTTAATTTATGTTACGTATCATTAGATCTTGTTCCAACCCCTCTCTTGTATTTCATTGTTCCTATTTTCTTTAGACAGTAAAATTTTATACTGTAGGCATTGCTATGGTATTTCCCTAGCAGCAGACCAATCATGTTCTATTACGTCTGAACACACGTCGATAAAAAAATTCCCTAGATCGCTCGACTTTAGCGGGAATTTCAATTCCTATGAATTCCTCTTTAACACTAAAAAAAATATTTTGTACATACATATTGTATATAAAAAATACTAATAATGGAGGACGACTAGGAAGATAATTTTACATAAAAAGTGTTTAAAATAATATATTAATTTCTCTATAGAGAATTTAAATATTTATTCTTGCAAAATCATCGATTTGATTGGCAAGATAAAGATAATTTGAAAGCATCGATACTCCACATGATAAACCGAGAAAAATTCAATATATTTTAGAAAGTTTCAAAAGATAATTTATTATGCAAAACCGCTAGGATTTTTCTCTTCACACAACCGCAAATATTTTCACGTTCCAACGTCTCCTCTTTTCCTTAACAATCGGAGAACATCGCCTCGGCAAAAGATGAACAATTGTTCCTCTATCCGCAACAAACTTACCTGCCGGAGAATCTATCGCGGGAAATACAATAAAACAATTATATATCCGTAATCTCCGTGTAAAAACGAATTATTTGCTACATAGAAAACAACAATAACGTTTGCCGGGTATTTTGTCTCATCGTGTACCATCGTGACTTTACGAATCTTTCTAGCTCCCCGAGAAAATTTCAATGTTCAAACACACCTGGTTGAATTCTCCTATTCCTAGACCTTATAATCCCCATTGAACGAGTACGAGAGCTCTGTAGGCACGAACTCCAACAATAATTTATGGCTACACTGCTCGAGCGGGTATGCTGTCGTGTAAGCTACGGCTTAACCGTAATTTACAACAAAATCCAATTTTCCCGATTCCACGATTATTCCACAGATCTACAGACAGATCTATCGACCGTGCTACTGGTGGTTTTCTTAAAGCACGAAGTTCTTAACATTTTCTCAATCAAATCGAATTATATTTCTTTTTTTCGAATCGAAATAAAATTTAATAAAAAATTTAAACTTTTTACACAATACGTATATTCCCTGAGATAGAATTAAACGTTGACTCAGTTGACATTAGTTTCCGTCAATAGTTCAGCTCAGGACGACAGTCGGAATGACTTTGACTTCATAGAGACTTTTTCCTTTTTGTTGCCGACGTTTTCAGTCCTCTCTGCGGGTGGGCGTAGATATATCTCAAATATATCCATGTCAGTCTTACGTCCGAATGGATAATATCGTCCATATACAAGAGTTCGTTTTCCTTCTTCGAATATCTCTTAAAATTTTTGCCATGGAACACGTGTAATATAATTTCTCTTGGAATTGATTTTAATCGCGGATCGCACGGTAATGACTCTTCGTACAAATTCGGCCTAACTTTTACGTGTTAAAGCGACACTTATTTGCCGGCATTCTTTGACACTAGATCGGGTGCACCGCTGGATACTGGTTGGACAAACGAGTCTGTTGAAAGATAAAACCGCACAATGCGCTACAGGATTCTGCATCCGACAATATGTATTTCCCTTTCCGAGAAAAACTGACGTGAACTGACTTCAAGGGCGGCACTGACCTTTGCCATGACAAAACGTGCCGACATTCCCCCTCCCCCCCTCTTTCCACCTCCCCCCCAAAAAATGAAGGAGAGATAGATCAGATTTTCGATGATTCGAGATCGCAACTCGTTCTATTTTTTTCATCGTTGTTTAAATTGTAAAATTTATTGGATAGATAGGATTGGCTTGTTGGAAGAGGGAATTGAGAGAAAAATCAAAGAGAATATTATTCTTTGGCAAAGTCGTTAATTTTTATATCAGCGGCCGTTTACGATTTTACCTGGAACAACGTGGGATCATAGACCTAGAAGGAAGCGGCCATCCCATTTTTTAATATCCGTTTGACTCGACACGGGATGTACACGGATGTGCCGATCAAACAGGTTATTCACAGTCGTTTAGGTTCGTTCGTGATTCGTTCCCGGAAGTTGGAACACAAATCATATTCAGTCGGTCGTGGTCCAGAATTCTTGTTCCCCCCCCTCACCCTTTTTTTTTTTTTAACTTTGGGACGATCCTGACCTATCGTCCCGCCGCACCCTTGCAACAAAAGCGGACGGTCGGCAACGATTGAGATAATAGAGAAACCACGATTTGCTCCCTGTTAATTAAAATCTATCGATGAAAGATGAGCCGACGAAGGGTGAAGAAAAAGAAGAAAGAAGAGAAGCGATGCTTTCTCTCTTTCTCTCTCTCAAAAAGAGCTTTTCTCCAAGATTCCTCCCTTTCGAAACTTACATTGGTTTTAATTTTAAGTTAAATACACACTCGGCTCATTCTCTTATCAGATTAGAATTGTCCATCATGTAGATCATCCATTCCTTCAAATTGCCTTTACAAAAAGGCAAAATTAACTTTTTTAAATTGAATCATATATATATATATATTATCCTTCGTGATCTTTTCTCGTTCTTCGCTTCGAAATTTTCCACTAACCTTGGAATTTTTTTTCCAGGTTCCTGACTTGTGAAATGGCGCGCGGAAAACTTGGCCTTTGACTCCAACCAGACGATCACAAACGCCGAATCAATCGTAATGAATCCGCGGGACAATGCGACGGCTTCCTTTGAGCGTGGATATTCTCACGGGTTCCATAATATCTTGAGATTCTCGGTTCTTATTCTCCTCTTCTTCTTCTTTCTTCATCTGAAACGCAACAGGTCGTATTGTGACGAGGGTGTCACACCGTTCGAGCTGGGGATTGGCGAGAAGGGACCCCTCCGGCTCCGATTCTTCCGTGTCCAAGACCAAGAACAAATTTATGGACTTGGGATCCACGTTTTACGTTGGAACACAGGTACACGCTTCTCCCTCTCTTGTTCTCGCACCTTCTCCCGCTTCTCTCGTTAATTCGTCCCCTTAAAAAATATATATCTCGTTTGATAATTCTTTGAGCCAAGTTGGTAGATTACAGATCGCTGTATCAACGATCTATACAAGTGTTTCGCCTGTAAACGATCTATAACAAATGATTAACAGAACGGGAGGAGAATACTATTTCTTATATACGAAATAGTTTTCTCTCCTCGAGGCGAGTGATTAATGACGAAGCACACGAATGTTTGCTCATCTCGACCTGAAACAGGTAAACAGGGTAAAGAATTGAACAGGTAAAGAATTGTTATTAGAATCTATTTCCAGACACGGACACTACTAGTATCTAACTTGATATGCAAACTCAATTCGCAACTCGACTTTGCTAATAACTTTGCTAATAACTTTGTTAATAATCCACGGTGCATCTGTACCCAAATATTTAACCAGGTAGGTAAACTCGGTATTAATCTGTTTGCGTGCCAACCGATCTTTGGTAATCTCTTGTTTACAACCCCGTAATCCTAACCCGATTAGCCGCGATGTAGGAAACGTTAGAAGGAGAGATCCGAGTCCTAATCTCGTGGCAAGGTGCCAGTGCGATCCGATCCCCTATTCGAGGGGCCCTATTTCCCTTGCAGAGAAGCGACCACGTTACGCCGATCATCGTGTGAAAACTGCAAAGTCTCGCTCCATTAGCTCCGAAGACTAGTCCCATTGTCGGGTCTATTGTCGGGGAGCGTGGCCCTCTCCTTCTCTCTCTCTCTCTCTCTTCCCCTCTAGTTTTTTTCTCCCCCACCTTCTTCTTACTGTTGCTCCACCATTTTCTTCTTCCAGATCCGAGGCATAAGTTAGAAACCCGTCAGAAGACTAGTGACCTGACCAGTGATCCCGATGATGCTTCTTCTTCGTTCGGCCAGGTAAATCGCGTATAAAATTGACCCGTAGAGGAGGAAGAAAAGGTTCGAAAAGAACCTCTAATGACGTCTCGACCGTCATCAGGGAAATGATGCTTCGGGATACATCATCGTGTGTGTAAATGCGAACGTATAAACGTATATATTTGGAATTTCGTGAAACAGAGGGGGGGGAGGGGAAAGGAATTTTGTGAGAGGAGAGAGAAACGTAAGAGGCAATTTTCAATTACTTTTTATCGCTATTGCAACAAATCAATTTCTTTGCTGCGGATGATTCGAGGTAAAGTGAGAATAAGAGAAGCGTGTTTCTAGTAGTTCTTTTTTTTTTTTTTCTCGTAAGCGATTAATCATTATATACAATAATAACAAAGTCCAGTTAATCCTGGAGAATTGAATTTTTCGTTTTTCGACTTTTATCCTTCGTAAAGGATATGGAAAATTGGATATTGTTTAACGCATGCGTGCATAAATTTAGAGAAGGATGCGAGAAATCGGAGGCAGGAGATTTCTTATTATTGCGGACAGTGGAAAATCTGACCTGCTCCGTTCTTCCGATTTGCATCGGTCCACCGGTTCTGAATGTCTCTCGGAGGAAAACGCGCGGCTCGTTCGCAGAAACATGGAACGTCCCCGAGCGAATGCGCACAAAGCGCACTTTACACCCCCGCAGTCCCGTTTACCGATTTGACACACCGTCAAACGTTGCCCGCGTTCCCAGTCGCTTTCTTTCTAATTTAAAAAGGGAGATTTAAAGAAAGAAAAAGAAAAAAGAAAGGAATTCCAGAACGCGTAATTCTTTCGAGGATATTAATAAAACGCACGCCGTGCACCAAGCGTATTTTATTTAATAGAACGATCGTAAGAAACAAGCGTAGAAGAACAATAACGTGCACACAAAAGCCACGATCACGGTAGAGGGAAGGAAATTTTTGAAAAATTCTCGTCCTCGTGGGACGACGATCCCCCGCGTGGGAGTGCTGTT